AGCTGCGACCTTTGTTGCAGACGTAGGTGCGGAGATAACTCTAGCAACGGGAGCTTGACTACGGGGAAGGCACGTGTGTGAGAGGTAGCTCTGCGTTCGTTCACTTAGTCGTTTCCTTGTGCGCACACTACTTGCTAGTTCACGGGGAGAATTGGCAAGAGTTCCACTAGGAAAACATCACAACAAAGGTTCAGAATGATAGCAACAACATTGGCATGCATCACTACATCAGAGCTAGCACAGCTGCTGGTCGACCTCCAGCGCAGCACGGTCGACCGCGATCCAGCGCAGCAATGCTCGCACCGCTCCAGCGCGGCAGAGATGCGGCGCGCCAACGTTGCATGTCCACGGTGTGCCAACGCTGCAGCAAGTCGGCTGCACAGCGTTGCACCCGCAGGACAACGGTGCACCTGCTTCGCAGGTGTGCGCGGCTGGTTGGCGTCCAACTCCCCGTCACGTGCCCAGCGCAGACATTCCCGCTCGTGACAGCACCTATCAGCCACGTCGACCTCGGGATACCACCCCCGAGGTCGTCCTCGCAGAAACCACCCCGGCGACCGTCCCACACGTCGCCCGGGTATCCCGGTCGACCAGGCAACCCCGCCTGGTCGCCCAGCCCAGTCGGACGCCGGCTACGCCAAGCCCGGCGTCCCCAGGTCGGCGTCCTGTCATCCAGGGCGGCGTCCACTCACCCAGGGCGCCGTCCAGGCGCCTGAGTCGGCGTCCAGCCTCCCCAGACGCCGTGGTGTCTCCCAGGTCGGCGTCCAAGCGCCCGGGACGCCGAGCAGACTCCCAGCTCGGCGTCCAGCCTCCCAGGACGCCGTGCAGACGCCCTGGTCGGCGTCCAGGCCCCCAGGACGCCGAGCAGACGCCCTGGTCGGCGTCCACCTGCTCGGCGCCCTCCAGTCTACTAGACGCCCACCAGCTCCACGCCCCTTGCAGTGGCCCCCGTGCCCACTGCTGCAGGTCGGCTGCATCCCCCCGCACAACCGACCACGAGGTCGGCTCCGCCCAAGCGAGGACGGGGCCAAACACAACTCCCGTTGACACTCCCCTGCCGCGTTCACGCGTTCGCGTTCGCGTTGACACTCCCCCAGCCCACACGGCAGCAAAGCTCAGAAGATAGCTCGGCGGCGTGCACCCAACACACAGCACGCCGGTCACCGCACCAGCCATGCAAGAGGGCATGGCACCTACTGCTGCACTTCGTTGTCACCGTCGCCGACTTCAGCCAGGCGCACCTGGCCGACTGCGACGGAGCACCGGTTGAAGGCCGGGTAGTGCAGCGCCTTCGTCAGAAAGTCGGCCGGCTGCTCGGTGGTCGGGATGTACTGCAGCGCAAACTTCCCCCGCTTCACCATGTGCTGCAGCCAGGCCTGTCGCCGCTCCATGTGCTTGAGGTTGCCCGTCAACCCCATGCCCTCGGCGACCGTGATGGCCGACTTGTTGTCCACCCTGAGGACAGAACTCTGCGAGGAGGAAGCGAAGTCGGCGTCCCTCCTTGCCGGCTTCGACGACCGCCACGTACTCCGACTCGGTCGACGACAGTGTCGCGCACTTGATGCACTGGCTCGACCAGGAGACCGCGGCCCCTCCGTAGACGAACACGTAGCCGCCCGTGCTCATCCTGTTCTGCTTGTCACCGGCGTCGTCGGCGTCCACGTAGCTGACCAGCTCCAGCGTCTCCGGACCACCGCCGAACTCCAGGGCGGTGTCACGCGTGTTGGCGAGGTAGGCGAGGCAGCGGTCAACCTCGCGCCAGTGCTGGTCGCTCCTCACCGTGAGTCCGCTCCCCAGCTTGCTGCAGGCAAAGGCGATGTCCGGCCTCGTCGTCGTCGCCGCGAACTGCAGCGAGCCGACCTTCTGCCGGTACTCCTCCTCCTGGCGTTCCTGCGCCTCCTCGTCGTCGAAGGTGAGCTCGGCGTAGGCGTCGACCGAGACCGGCGTCTTCGGGGTGCGCCCGGTCTGCTCCTCGTCGATGAAGCGCCTACGCAGCTTGTCGGCGTAGCCCTGCTGGTGCAGCCATAGCTTCCCCGCCGACCTGTCGCGCACGATCTCCAGCCCGAGGTACTTCTGCACCGGCGAGATCTCGCGCAGCTCGAAGGCGGCTTCCAGCAGCTCCTTCAGCCCCTCCAGCATCGCGGCGCTGCTGCTGGCGGCGAGCAGGTCGTCGACGTAGACCAGCACCCAGCAGGCCACTCCGTCGTCGCCGACCTTGAAGTACAGAGCCTCGTCGACCTGGCTCTTCTTCCACCCGGCGCCGACCAGCACGTCGTTGAGTGCCAAGTACCACAGCAGCGGCGACTGCTTCAGCCCGTACAGGCTCTTCAGCAGCTTGCACACCCGGCCAGTTCCGTCGTTGAAGTAGTCCGGCTGCGACATGTACAGCACCCGGTCGAGCTTGCTCTGCAGGAAGGTGTTCTTCATGTCGAGCTGCATCAGGTTGAGGTTGAGCACGGCGACGATGCTGAGGAAGATCCTCAGCGTGACGTAGCTGCCCACCGGCGCGAACGTCTCATCGTAGTCGGCGCCGTACACCTGCGTGAAGCCCTTCACGACCAGCCTCGCCTTCTCACGCTCGACGGTGTCGTCGATGTGGTACTTCGTCGTCAGCACCCACCGGTTCTTCATGACGTTCACTCCCGGCGGGCGTTCGACCAGCTCCCACGTGCCCATGTTGATGAGGCTGCGGATCTCCTCCTCCATGGCGGCCTTCACCGCCGGGCCCTTCCAGCTCGCCAGCGCCTCCTTCACCGTCATCGTCGAGATGTCCCAGCGGTGCTCGGGGTCAGCGTGCATGTCGGGGTCGAGCTCCGGGAACTCCTCATCCTCCTCGGCGTCGTCGTACAGCAGGTCATCGTCGTCCTCCACGTCGTACACCGTGGTGAAGGCAGCGGGGACGAAGAAGTCAGGCGGCCTCCGAAGTCGGCCCGAACGCCGCGGTCCCGGCTAGACCTCCTCGGCGTCCCCCCCGTCGGCGGCGACGTCGCTGTCCTCGGCGTCCTGCTGCGCCTCAGCGCTGTCCTCGACGTCCTGCTGCGCCTTAGTCGGCGTCCCGACCGACTTCTCCCCTGCGGTCAGCTCCCCTGTCGACTGCCAGGTCGCCGACTGCTCCTGAGTCGGTCGCGCTTCTGCCTGCTTCCCTGTCGGCGTCGCTTGCTCGGCCTGCTGCTTCCCCGGCGGCCCCTCTGTCGTCGTGACTTCCTGGCCGACTTGCTGGGCATCACGGCGGCCACCGGCGATGTTCTTGGTCGGCGCCACAGGCGACGCCCCACTGCTCCCCTCTTCACTGGAGGCCGACGCCGGAGTCAACCCATGCAGATCAGCGACGAGGGGAGGGGCAGGGGAAGGATGGTCGACCTCGGCGTCCTCATCAGCAAGCTCACCGACCTCGGCGAGCAGAGGCAGCGTAACCGTGGAGGTGTCGGTCGGTGGGGTGGTCGGCGTCCGTCCTGACACCGGCCCGTGCTCCGACTTCCACACCTCCAGCGACATGTCCTCGTAGAACACCACGTCCGACGTGGTGACCACCCGGTTGGCAGCGATGTCGAGGAGCTCCCATCCCTTGCTCTCCTCCGAGACGCCGAGATGAAGGCCCCACCGGGCTTTCGGCTTCAGCTTCCCACCACGCTGCTGCTCGGGGACGAGGAACTGCGCCATGCAGCCCCACACGCGGGCCAGCGACAAGTCCGGCTTCTTCCCGGTGAGCAGCTGGTACGGCGTCGTGCCCGGCGTCGCTGACCGCTCCAGGCAGTTGCGGACCCAGACGGCCTGCCGCAGAGCAAGGTGCCACCAGTGGTGCTGCACGCCCATGTGCAGCAACATCGTCCGCACCGACTCCACCACCGTCCGCATCTCCCGCTCCGCCATGCCGTTCTGCTATGGGGTGTAAGGGCAGGTCAGGTCGTGGACGATCCCCTTGCCATCCACGAAGTCGGTGAAGTCCTTCCCGAGAAACTCCCCTCCCCGGTCAGAACGCAGCATCAGCACCGACTTCTTCGTCTGCCGCTCAACCATCACCAGCCACTGCTCAAACTCCCGCAGCACGTCGGACTTCCTGGCGACCGGCTTCACCCACACGTAGCGGGTCTTGCGGTCCTTCAGCAGCAGGAAGTACAGGCTGTGTCGAACATTATATATGTTGTGCTTGTTAGGCTACAGTGGGTTAGCCTATATGGGGTACACAATTCTAGGGTTTGCTATTTGTACTGTTTTCTCTGTTAGTTCAATCATTCCTGTCCGTTCATTCTGACATGGTTTCAGAGCAGGTCCGTCACTAGGACCGTTTTAGGGCCCACCGTTACCTACCTACCTACCTACCTACCTACCTACCTACCGTGCGCCTACGCGCCCTTGTGCGCCTTCTACCTACCGCATGCGCGCAGCCCGCCAGCCACCCGCGCGCGGCTCGTCTTTTTTTTTTTTTAACGCGCGTGACCCGCTAGCCGCCCGCGCGCGGTCGATTTTTCGCGTGCGACCCGCTAGCCGCCCGCGCGCGGCCGTTTCTTCGCGCGCGGCCCCGCGCGCGGCCCGCAAGCTGCCCGCGCGCTGCCTGTGCGCCGCTGCCCGCGCGCCGCTGCAGCTCCTGCTGTCGCGCCCGCTGCTGCTGCCGCCCGTCGCCAGCTGCCGCCTGTGCGCCCGTGCGCCACTGCTGCTGCCGCTGCCCGCGCGCCGCTGCCTCTGCTCTAAGCCCGCGCGCTGCTGCCGCTGCCGCTGCCGCCCGTGCGCCGCTGCAGCTCCTGCTGCCGCGCTCCCTACTACTGCCGCCCGTGCGCCATTACCGACCGTCAACCCCGCCCGCGCCTCTCCTAGCGGCCCCGCCGGCCGGTCGATTCCGCCTGTGTCCCGCCTGGTCGCCCCGCCGGACCTATCGACCCCGCCCGCCCTCCGCATAGAGGCCCCGCCGGCCCCGTTGACCCTGCGCACACCTTTCAAGCGGCCTTGTTACTACTGCTACTACTGCTACCACTACTGTTTCTACTACTACTGCTACTGTCACTATGGCTAGTCCTACCGTACTCGCTTTCGATGCCGAGGGCCGTCCAGTGAAGTTCGAAACCTGGCTCGATGACCTGCACCTTTTCCTACAGCTCACTGCCAAGGAGGATATCTCACTGTACGACCACGCCCTAGGCCATGCTACTGCCCCTGACACTTCTGCTGACAGCACTCTGCGCTCCCAGTGGCAGACTCGTGACGCCCACACTCGCTTCGCTATTCGCAACTCCCTACCGCTAGACGAGCGCGAGCACTTCGGCCAGTGCAAGACTGCTAAGGAACTGTACACAGCCGTAGTTGCTCGTTACTCCTCACCGGCCTCTGCTACACTAGGCCGCCTCTCACTGCCCTACCTGTTCCCCGATCTGGCCTCCTTTCACACTGTTGCTGACCTCATCACCCACCTCAAGACTAGTGAGGCCCGCTTTCGCGCTGCTATGCCTGCCGAGTTCCTTGCTAGCAACCCCCCCCCGCTCTGGCTCACTCTCTACCACATTGTCACCCGCCTCCCTGACTCTCTGCGCGCAGTCAGGGATTCCTTTCTAGCTCGCTCCCCTACTGAGCTCACCATTGCCCTCCTCGAGAAGGACCTACTTGCAGCTGAGGCGAGCATCGTCGCCGTAGGTGCCTCTCGTGGCGAGCCCCGCACCCCCTTCTTTGAGGGGTGTTCCCCTTCCCCCCTTCTCCCCTCTGTCGCCTCTGCTGCTGCTGTCGACCTCCTTGGTGCTGAGAAGGTCGGGACCGCGTCTGCTCCGAGCGGGCGCCGCAGGAGCAAGGGGGGCAAGGGTGGAGGTGGCGGCGGGGGAGGCGGGGGTGGAGGCGGTGGGAGTGGAGGTGGGGCTGGAGAGGCTAGTGGCGGCAGTGGGGGTGGTGACAGCGGCGGCGGGGGTGGTGGCAGAGGCGGAGGTGGCAGCGGCGGCGGAGGTGGTCGTAGCGGCGGCAGGGGTGGAGGTGGCCGAGGCGGTGGCGGCGGCGGTGGTGGTCGTGGAGGCGCTGGCGGTGGCCAGAGTCAGCAGCCCGCCCCGTCGCTCCAGGAGGCACGTGAGTGGTACTCGCAGCGTGGCTTTACCTGCACGTACGTCATTCGCACTGGTGACCGCACTGGCCAGCAGTGTGGGAGGCCGCACCCCACGCAGCGCTGCTTCGCGCGCCTTACCGACGCGTGGCGCACCCAGTTTCCTGGTGCCACTGAGCTACCCCGCTGGGCTGATCTGGAGAGGAAGGGAGTTGATATCTGGGCTCTAGACTTTGATGCTATTCTCACTACCATGTATGCGATGTTTACTAGTGGAGAGGGTGCTCAGTACTTGCGTGTTCCGCCCGACCCAGGCATTCTGACCAGTCCGGCCGCCGCTCTAGGTGCTAGTGAGTCTGCTGCCCCAGGTCCTGGTGAGGCTGCTGCTCTAGGTGCTTGTGAGTCTGTGCCCCCTGGTACTGAGTCGACTGCAGCACTGCACACCTTCACACTGGACTCAGGTGCTTCTCGCTGTTTCTTTCGTGACCGCACTGTCCTTGAGCCACTCGCTCGGCCAGTTGCGGTCTCCCTAGCTGACTCCTCTGGGGGTCCGGTCATTGCGACCTCCTCCACTGTCCTTCCTTGTCCTGCGGTCCCGTCAGGCACGCTGTCAGGTCTCTACCTCCCCTCGTTCTCTACGAACTTGGTAGCAGGTCGAGCGCTCCAGGACGGGGGTGTTCACCAGTTCACCCCTGCCTACGAGCGCGTGACACACTGCACGTGTACTCGCACGGGTCGCCACCTGGCTACCTTCACTCGAGAGCCGAGGACGGATCTGTACACACTGACCACTGAGTCCCCTCAGGTAGCTGCGTCTGCGTCTGCGTCAGGTCAGCTGTCCGCCCCCTGCTCGTGTCGCTCTCTGGCGCATGAGACTGTCCTCTGGCACCACCGCCTTGGTCACCTGTCTGTGCAGCGCCTTCGGGCCATGCACAAACGGGACCTTGTTGCTGGTCTTCCCAGGGTTCTCCCTCCCCTCCCACCCTCGCCTGCTCCTCCCTGTCTTCCCTGTGTCGAGGGGCGGCAGCGCGCCGCTCCTCACTCCTCCTCCTTTCCCCCGACGACTGCTCCTTTGCAGACGCTCCACATGGACGTGTGGGGCCCAGCCCGCGTCCGTGGTCAGGGTCAAGAGAGGTACTTCCTGATTGTTGTTGACGACTTCTCGCGCTACACCACGGTCTTCCCTTGCACGCCAAGGGTGACGTCCCTGATGTCTTGATCCCTTGGATCCGCAGATCTCGTCTCCAGCTCAGCAAGCGTTTCCACTCCGACTTCCCTGTCCTGCGTCTGCACTCTGACAGAGGTGGGGAGTTTTCCTCTGGCCTCTTGGAGGCCTTCTGTCAGCAGGAGGGCATTGAGCAGTCGTTCACGCTTCCGGCCTCTCCACAGCAGAATGGGGTTGCTGAGCGCCGCATTGGCTTGGTCATGGAGGTCGCTCGTACCTCCTTGGTTCATGCGGCTGCCCCCCACTTTCTGTGGCCGTTTGCAGTCCGATACGCTGCGCATCAGCTTAACCTCTGGCCCCGTGTCTCCTTACCGGAGACTTCTCCGACACTGCGTTGGACGGGAGAGGCTGGCGATGCGTCGCGTTTTCGGGTCTGGGGATCTCGAGCTTTTGTTCGCGACACGTCCGCGGACAAGCTCTCCCGTCGCGCTGTCCCCTGTGTCTTCCTTGGCTTTGTCCCGGACGCGCCTGGTTGGCAGTTCTACCACGCCACCTCACGTCGTTTCCTGGCCTCTCAGGACGTCACTTTTGACGAGTCCGTCCCCTACTACCACCTCTTCCCCTACCGCACTGCCCCACTCCCCCCCCCGCCTCTCTTCCTGGCTCCAGGTGCTGAGGTACCAGACCCCCTCCCCCCTCAGGGTGCCGCTCCCTCAGGTGTGTCCCAGGTAGACCCGGGTGAGCCTGTCGAGGTAGCTGTTGACTCTCGTCCTGCTAGGGGTGCTGAGCCTGGGGGTGCTGAGCCTGGGGGTGCTGTGTCTGGGGGTGCTGAGCCTGGGAGTGCTGAGTCTGCGGGTGCGGAGCCTGGGGGTGCGGAGCCTGGAGGTGCGGAGCCTGGGGGTGCGGAGTCTGGAGGTGCTGAGCCTGGGGGTGCTGCGTCTGGAGGTGCTGAGCCTGAGCGTGCTACACCTGGAGGAGCCCTCTCCTCCCAGCAGCTGCAGGAGAGGTACCTACAGTACTGCGGCCTCCGGAGAGGTGCTGCTGGAGCTGGTACCAGTACTTCCCCTCCTACCCAGGAGCTCCCCTCCCTTCAGCAGATCCGAGAGTGGTACACGCGGCGCTGCAGTCTTCGGAGTGGAGCTCCTGGTGCTGCGGACCCTGGAGGTGGAGCTGCTGCTGGTGCTGAGGACCCAAGCGGTGGAGCTACTGCTGGTGCTGAGGACCTGAGCGGTGGAGCTGCTGCTGGTGCTGTGGACCCGCGCGGTGGAGCTGCTACTGGTACTGAGGACCCGAGCGGTGGAGCTGCTGCTGGTGCTGAGGACTTGAGCGGTGGAGCTGTTACTGGTGCTGAGGACCCGAGCGGTGGAGCTGCTGCTGGTGCTGCGGACCCGCACGGTGGAGCTGCTACTGGTGCTGAGGACCCGAGCGGTGGAGCTGCTGCTGGTGCTGCGGACCCGCACGGTGGAGCTGCTACTGGTGCTGAGGACCCGAGCGGTGGAGCTGCTGCTGGTGCTGAGGACTTGAGCGGTGGAGCTGCTACTGGTGCTGAGGACCCGGGCGTTGGAGCTGCTGCTGGTACTGAGGACCCGGGCGGTGGAGCTGCTGCTGGTGCAGGGGTCTCGGGTGGTGGAGCTGCTGCTGGTGCTGAGGACCCTGGCGCTGGTGTCTCTGCTGGCTCTGGAGACGCTGCGCGGCCGCGACCGTACTTCGTACCGCTCCTTCAGCAGGTTCTTGGTCAGGCTCCTCCTCCTTGTCCTCCTCCCTCCGTAGAGTGTCCTCCGCCTGTCCAGTCGCAGTCACAGTTACCGCCTGCCTCGCCTCTCCCTGGTCCCTCTCCTTACACTGGTCCCACAGGAGGTCTTGCAGAGCGTCGTGAGCCTGCGTCTCGTCCTGCGTCGCCTGTTCGTACTGCTCGCACTGGTCGTCGTGTCCCACGTGAGCGTCCTCCTCCTGTCCCTGGCACTCACTACATGACTCTGCGTCCCTCCACTGCTCCTCAGCGTGTCCCGCTGCCGTCTCCTCCTGCGTCCTCTCTACCTACTCTTCCTGACCCGGAGTCTGACTCCCGTCGTGCTGCCAGTCCCACTGTCACGCGTCTCCTCGCCACTGTTGTCACTGACCCTACCTTTGAGTCCTCTGCTGCGTCTGCTCTAGTCGCTGAGTTGATAGACTTTGCTGCCCGGTGTCGTCTCGACTACGCCGCTAGCCTTGTTGCTGAGTCTGAGTCTGAGTCTGTCTGTCCTCCGTCCGTCGGGGGTGAGTGTGCTCTTGGCACGGACGTCCTTGAGGACAGGCAGGAGGAGTTCCAGTGCTTTGCTGCTGCTTTGCCCCATCTCGTGTCCATGCTAGTTGCCCCTGAGGGAGACCCGGATGCTCCTGACATCCCGACCCCACGCTCTTACGCTGAGGCGATGGTGGGTCCCTACTCCTCTCAGTGGCAGACAGCCATGGACGCAGAGATGGCTTCCTAGAAGTCCACAGGCACCTACGTCGACGAGGTTCCCCCACCTGGGGCGAACATCGTCAGTGGCATGTGGATTTTCAGGGTGAAGCGGCCGCCGGGTTCTCCTCCTGTCTTCAAGGCGCGCTACGTTGCTCGAGGCTTCAGTCAGCGAGAGGGAGTTGACTTCTTCCAGACCTTCTCCCCCACCCCGAAGATGACCACTCTTCGGGTGCTGCTGCACATAGCCGCTCAGCGCGACTACGAGCTTCACTCACTTGACTTCAGCACTGCTTTCTTGCAGGGCAGCCTGCACGAGGAGATCTGGCTGCGCCGCCCTCCTGGCTTCACTGGGTCGGTTCCTCCTGGTACCCAGTGGAGACTCCAGCGGCCGGTCTACGGTCTCCGCCAGGCACCGCGTGAGTGGCACGACACACTGAGGACGACACTTGCGGCTCTTGGGTTCGCTCCCTCTACTGCTGACCCGTCACTGTTTCTACGCACAGACACCTCGCTGCCGCCGTTCTACATCCTCGTGTACGTCGACGACTTGGTCTTTGCCACTGCTGACACCGCGGCACTCGCCCACGTGAAGTCGGAGCTGCAGAGGAGACACACGTGCACAGACCTGGGTGAACTGACAAGCTATCTTGGCTTGCGGATCACCCGGGACAGAGCACGGCGCACCATCACCTTGACTCAGTCACACATGGTGCAGCAGATCCTTCAGCGCTTCCGCTTCACGTACTCCTCGCCTCAGTCCACTCCTCTGCCTACCGGTCACTCGCTCTCAGCTCTGCCTTCGGATGAGTCCGTAGAGCCGAGTGGCCCGTATCCAGAGCTTGTGGGCTGCCTCATGTACCTGATGACCTGCACTCGACCTGACCTGGCATACCCTCTTAGCATCCTTGCACGCTATGTCGCTCCTGGCCGTCACAGGAAGGAGCACATGGATGCCGCTAAGAGGGTGTTGCGCTACCTGTGCAGTACGTCGGGCATGGGGCTAGTGCTTGGAGGGCGAGACCGAGTTGTGCTCACAGGACACTCAGACGCTTCTTGGGCGGACGACCAGGCTACTCAGCGGTCGTCTCAGGGTTACACCTTCAGCCTTGGCTCTGGCTCAGTTTCTTGGCGTTCCACACGCTCTTCTTCTGTTCTCAGCTCCAGTTGTGAGGCTGAGATCTACGCCACAGCCATGGCTGCCCAGGAGCTACGCTGGCTGACCTACCTGCTGACTGACCTGGGAGAGCGGCCTCGTTCTCCTCCAGTGCTGTACGTCGACAACAAGGCTGCCATTGCCTTGTGTGAGGAGCACAGACTGGAGCACAGAACGAAGCACATCGCCCTGCGGTACTTCCTTGCTCGTGAGCTGCAGCAGCGCGGTCAGCTTTGTCTGCGTTACGTGGCCACTGAGGCCAACACTGCTGATGTGTTCACCAAGGCGCTTCAGCCTTGTGACCATCAGCGCTTTTGCACTCTGCTAGGCCTTGTGCCTACTGGACCTCACTTGCTTACTTCTTGACCCTGCTTGTACTGTGATCACTATATATTTCTATACCTGCATGTTTACTCTTGCTAGGTTATGATCACTGTATCTCTTGCTCTGTTATAAACCTGCATGTGAACTGGTCTTGTGACCACTTGCTTGTGCTCGGAATTTGTGTGGAATCCTTGAGATCCACCCTGAGCTTGTTGTGTCTTGCTTTGCCTTGACTGGTCTTGTGACCCCTAGTTCTCCCCCACTTTGCCTATGGGGGTGTGTCGAACATTATATATGTTGTGCTTGTTAGGCTACAGTGGGTTAGCCTATATGGGGTACACAATTCTAGGGTTTGCTATTTGTACTGTTTTCTCTGTTAGTTCAATCATTCCTGTCCGTTCATTCTGACAGGCTGCCATCCTTGGCGGCCACGCGAAACGGCCCGCACAGGTCGATGTGCACGACGGCCAGGGCGTCCTCGGCGTCCGAGCCCTTGTCGGGATAGGAGTGCCGCGCAAGCTTCCCGCCGACGCACGAGACGCAGGGCGAAGTGGCACCGGATCCCGACTTGATGTCCAGCCCGGTGGCGACCTCGTGCTTCGCCGAGCTCCGTATGGTGTCCATGCCGACGTGCGCAAGCCTCGCGTGCAGCCTGTCCGGCGTCGCCTTCGTCGCCGAGACGATGGCCCGCAGGGCAACTTCCTCCGCCGCAGATGTCGCCGGGCAGGGACGCAGGTCGGTGCAGAGGACCCGGCCGGAGTACGTTGCTCGGCCGAGGACGTCGCCGGTCGCCGAAATGAGCAGCATCCTGTCGCCGTCGTCCTGCAGCTTCACGCCGTGCTCCTTCAGCTGGCCGGACGACAGTAGGTTTGCATGCACGCCCGGGACGTACAGCACGTCGGGGATGAGCACACGCTTCCCGGCCTCCCCTTGCAGCGCAACTGTACCACGGCCGCGAACGTCCTGCAACGCCCCATTGAAGCCGCGCACGTGCTTCACGTCGCCGCTCGGCCCCATGTCGACGAAGACCTCCTTCGTCCCCATCAGGTGGTGGGAGCAGCCGCTGTCCAGCAGGACCACCGCCGGGTTCGCCTGCACTGCTGCTGCCATCGCCTGGAAATCCTCACCGGCCTC